CATGATGTTTTATGTTTTCCTTTATAATGACGGCACTCCCAGCGTGGGATGTGCCATCAGGGTGGTTTGTATAGTATATGTTATACCCCTTTATTGTAATAATTCTACCATCAGTCATGTGGGTTTCAGATACTAAAAGAATGTCAATTTTGTTGTGATTGATAAATAATTCCACTTCCTGCTTATTAGGAGGCAGGCCATTAACATTCCATGTAGCAATTCTGAGATTTTTTACTTATTATATTTGGCAATTAATGTTGTAAGAAGTCCCATCAGGGTTCCTATCTATTGAATTAATATATCTATTTTTTCTGATTGTTTTATTAAAATTTATTGTAACAAATTTGTTGGCTAAGATTCTATAGTCTCTGCTGTCCTACCCCAGTATCCAGAATTTCTGGTCGCGGCTTTGAAGACTTTTGGTATGTTTATATCATCATTATGTACTGAGTTTTGAGCAACATGACAGTCTGTTTTGTGTAGTGGAGGAAATTTATTCATTGTCGGCGGGTACATTGGAATAAGTGGTTTAGTTGGCTGTTTTTTAATAAGTGGTGTTTTTGTACTTAATGGCTGTGTCATTTTTCTTGCCCTGATTTCTTTGTATACCTGGCAACCCTTGTAATTGGCTGGGTGGTTACCAAGGCAAAGAATACATGTTGTAGGTGTATTTCTGTCTTTTTTGGACATTCTACAGTCTTGTGTCCTTCAGCGCATTTGACACATCTATATGGACGCATACAGTTGTTTTTTGTGTGTCCATACTGCTGGCACCGGGTACATTGTGGGATTTAACTTGATTTCCGAGGCTCGTCAATTTTAACTCTAGGATTGTATATAAACGCTATTGTTTTTATATCTGAGTTCTTTGGACTAGGTTCAATATTCACAAAGAACATATTTAGCGGCTTCTTATTTCTTCTGGATATTGCACATATTACTTCACCTCTGACTTTATTTCCTGTTTTTTCTATTTCTTCTATAATAGCTGTTTTCGGAGTGGTATGATGTAGATTTTTGATCACAATTCTGTAGCATTTATTTTGTTTTTGTGTAAAAGTGTGACCAATAAGTCCATTGCTTCGCACAGTATCAATCAAGCTTTTGTAGGTTTCAGTACATTGTGTCATTAGTCTCAGCTGATCCTTGTTGATTATTTTGTATGAGTAGTTACCTCCGGGAATGTCCTTATTCAACAGTTCCGTTAGCTTTGAAATGTCCTCAATACCATAGAGAATTATTGGTGGTGGTTTATTAACTTTTCTTTGAATGTTATGGCTTTCCTCAGAATCCTCAGTCAGGTCTACAGGCAACCCGTCATACCGATTGGAGGTGATTACATTTTGTGAGGGACTTAATGGTCTTTCCTCATGTGGTGGACTACTTGACAGTTTTTTTCTTTTTGTATTTCGTTGAACCGGAGCTCTTTGCCATGTGGGAGGACAAGTTTTTTGGTATTTTGGATCAACATTCTCTTGAGTTGTCTGGGAGTGTTCTTGTGTACGAGGATCATTTCCCGTTGAATGTGATCTGGTTCTTGAGACAAATAGGCTCGGGTGGAAGGCCTGTTGGACAAATTTTTTATTTGTGCTGCCAGTAGCATTCACTGTCGCGGAGGCCTGGGCGCCCACTCCCGCGCAGTCTTCGGTAACAAATTTCACACTCGCAGGCCCGGGTACCTGCGAGCGCCGGGCGTTAGCCGGATCGCATGACAAATCATTTTCGGTATCGCTCATAATTTATCCATATATTAGTGATGGGACTTACTCACAGCACTTTCCCAAGGCGCTATGGCCACTGTTTTTGAAGGGATTTAGTCCTTCAAGCTTCGTGGTCAGCTAGTGGACAGGTTAATTAACCGCCGCCTAAAAGATTATATTAGAAATTAAAAATTATTTTCGAATTGTTACCTTCTATTCGAAATGGCATCGGTCTCTGCAATAGTATATTCAATAATCCATTAACAGAAGAGGCCATTAAAATTATCAATATAGTAAAAAAAAAATTAAATTTTACTTATTAGTAATGTAAGAAGCACTTATTATGAGGAAAGACTGAGGCTTTCAAGCCGACTACCGCAAGGAAACCCCAAGTAGCGCCCAGACTTGTGACACGGGTGTAGGTTTAAAGGCCCTTTTAGAATGCATTAACACTCACCTTCACTACTTGCAGCTTCCCCCCAGGCCCAACTAAGACCGGGATAAACCCATTGCTAATACAATTCACTTTAATATCCAAAACACAACTGGCACGCTCTGCGCTCGTCGACTGAATGCCGCGGCTCACGCAACGAAAGAGGATTATTCAACTACCAACCTCCGTATTTATAGACCAAAGTCAGTGTAGTAGGTTGGTCTATAAATACTAGATGGCGCTATTTACAATATTCGTAATAATCCTTACATTGGGTACTTCATTAGTACTAAAAACAAACTACCTTCTTTTAATATATTTTTAAAATATCGGATTTTTTCTACAATAATGATGTGAATTCTAACAGTAATAATACGGATATTAATATTTACTACAAAATATGTACAACCAAATAGGTTAGAATCAATGCAGGTTGCAATTAGCATTAATATTAATATAAATACTAATAATGTTATCTTATTAGTAGCATTAAGAATAAATGATGCATATGTTTTATTAAATCGTCAAACATCACCTTTAATACGTAAGTTAAGAATTGTAATTTGTCGCATGAAAAACAATATTTGTTTTCATTGGTTCCAGATACACCCAGTTCGAATTAAGAAATAAGTTAGAGTAAAATTATTACTATGCCTAAAGGTACAGAACCTAAAGCGAGGAGGATTAGACAGCGGAGGATAGATGTTAGCAGTCCAAGTCATAATCGTTCATCAATGCAAAAGAAGAGAACTCCAAAATTGTCACTTACTCGAATAATACAAAGAGCAATGATTCCATTGTATTCAAAACTTTATGACCTAGAGAATAAGGTAGATACAGTTAGAATAAATAATGGAACAGATAATTTAAAGGAAAGGATTTTTTAGACACATATTGGGGCGAAACTGAGCAGAGTGAGCTTAGAAGAAATATAGTGTGCAATAAATGGGATAGTAGCAAAACCACAATGCTAAGACATTTTATTTCATGTTATGCTAACATACCCAATTCAATAGAGCCAATTGGTTAATGACATAATCCATCATTTCCCTAAAGATGTACAATAGGCATGGATTACGAGTCATGCTATACTGGACGATACTGCTATTCAATACTGGAAGCTACAGAATTTTTAAGGCGTATCGATAATATAAATAAACAATTTATATTTAATCAACAAGGAAAATTCGGTAAAACAAATATGAGACAAAATTATCAGGCAGCTAATAGATTTACATATCCACAAAGGAAGATAAACACTAACATTAGAAAGGAGAATCAAATTAATCACATTACTGAAGAGGGAACCCAAGAAACTTCTATTGTAGAGCAAACAGGAGAAACAATGAATTTAAACTAAGCGAGGTTGGTGACATGAGTTCCAATGCATCAACTTTAGGAGGAGCAAAAACGGAACCAAAGGGATTAATCATTATGTTGAAAATGGGTTGGAAACCTGGAGATAGATTAGGTATACGTAACTCTGGTTTAAGTAGACCAATTCAAGCGCAGGGACAAACGAATACAGCAGGAATAGGTATTAATAGTGAATCTATAGAAATAAATAGTTTACGATCCGGATTAGTATGGTTGTTTAAGAATCAAGTAGAAAGAAAATTGCAAGATTTAAGTATTATTACTGGGTTAGTAGGATCATTATTTGAGGAAGAAGATAGTGATAATCATATAGAGAGAGAGACCTTTAAAATGATAAAATCTGAAAAAATGATAAAAATATTTAATAGGGAACTAAAATGTTTAGTTAATACTGGTAGTGATATTACGTGTATTTCCGATAGTTTCTTTGAATCATTGCGTGCTGAATTTAGTTTTAAGTTTAATTAGAAACTTTTTGCCTCGCACAACCACATTGTGGAATCACCTTCAGAAATGGTATTTCCGAACCGATACGATATTGAAACCTTCAAGAAAAGAGCTTATTCCTTTTTAAAAGGCCCACAACGTACTTGCAATTCCCCTGGTGTTGCGGGTGCTCATGGGCGGCGGTAATCACTTACCATCAGGTGAGCCGCATGCTCGTTTGTCCCCTGTGTTATAAAAAAAAATATAAATACGGTACATACACCTTACTAATATTATAAATGCGAAAGTAACTCTGTCTGTCTGTCTGTCTCGCTTTCACGCAAACTACTGAACCGATTTAAATGAAATTTAGTACGCAGATAGTCTAGACGCCGAGGAAGGACATAGGCTACTTTTTAATGCGAAAAAAGGGTTGTAAGGGGTTCAAAATGGAAATACAAGGTTATCTTTATGCGGTTGAATACATCGCACACTTATTCGTCATCTTTTCATTTCACTAGCTAACAACCAATCAACACATCGCGTGCGTTTGCGCCAATAAGGTATCCATCACAGAGAACAAAACCACAGATAACATAATGTAAACGAAAGATCTTGCCGGAAACATGACGTTGATGTTTAGCGAAAATATTGTTTTTTGACACTTTTTCATGATAAAATCGTATATCGTGTGTATGTGTGTTTTCTTTAAACCTGAAATAGGTCGATTGCGAGACAAATTTGGCAATTTTTTTTATTAATTTGTTTTATTTTAGCCCAACTTAAAGTTTTACAATATAAACTACAATTATACTTCGACGTTGCATCCTCGAGATTTAAATATTCACCAGGTAGTCCACTCAATGTACTGGGCATCAAGCACAATTTTAGAGTCAATATTAAATAAAGAGTATTTAAACGACTCCCTTAGTTACCTACAGATGTCGCTCTATTCCATTGTTGCTTCATTCGCTTTCTTTGTGCGGGCATCGTAGCATCAAATTATTAACATTTGTGATAAACTAAAGTTTTTGTACTTATTTACGTATTGTATATTGTGTGCTATGGGAAAACGCAAACATAAGGAGTCTCAAGAACGCATTAGGAAGAAAATACGAAAATTGGAGAAGCGGCTGCGACGTCATGAAGATTCGGACAGCAGTAATGAAAGTAAGTACATATGTATAGAAAGAAATGCAAGACTATTTAATGATTGTTTACGTTTATATGAAATTTATGATAACTACTATATTTAATTTACTTGGGTAACAAGCTAAAAACACATAAAATTATCATGTATCCAGATAAAAATTGAACTACCCTCAATAACAGTTTTTATTTAATTATATTTCTCACTTGACGAAAACATTTATTCCTGACCTGCATTATGTTGAAACATTAGTTAACATAAAAGTTAAATACTACCTACTTAAAACATTAATAAAATTACTTTGTAAAATTTAACAAAGTGCCTTTGTACTATGATGCGATCATAGTCGTGCACATTTTAGTACTACGATGCGATCGTAGTCATGTTATATTGTCTAATACCGTGACGCGATCACAGTCAGACATAAATTAAAAACGATTTTTGCACATGGTGTCATGACGCGATCATGACCGTTGCTTTGTTTTGCTACAGGTCATGTCAGGGGTGACCGACACTCGGCATATTCCTATTATGAAGACTCAATTATGGAAGTAACGGATTCGGACGCCTCAAACTCACATACAGACATTCGATCGGCCGTACATGTCGTAGAGATTAATAACGAGCCGCTAACGGGTGGTTCGCCAAAACCTACGACAGCACAAATTGTATTGGAGCCGTCAACATCGAAATCAGCTAATCAGCAGGATTTAAATACTACTTCTGTGAACTCTGGCGACTGTCAGACTACTAATATACCTACCGATATTTTAGACATATTAGGAAATTCAAAGAAGAAAGAAGAGGTTTTCGGGCCACAAATTCAGGAAGAAATCTCTAAACGCTGGGGACGTATACTATGTGAGGGTCTAAATAAAGAACAAAAGAAAGAGCTTATAGAAAATATTCTAGTACCTGAAAATTTTCAATTGGTTAAGGCACCAAATTTAAACCCTGAAATAGCGGCCGTATTGACAGAATCGACTAAAAATCGAGACAAACGTTTGGAAAAAACCCAAAATTATCTCGGTCTTGGAATATCGGCATTAACCAGTTTAATATCTTCTCTTGTTGAAAGAGATAATAATGTGGATAAAATGCAGATAATTAAACGTTTATCTGAAACAAACCAAATCTTATTGGATTTACACTTTGAAAGTACGCTCAACCGGAGGAAACTAATTACATATACATTGGATAAAAAATTCGTGGACCTTGTGCAAGATGTACAAAGAGACTCGCTTCTTTTTGGAGAAAATCTTACCGAAAAGATTAAAGCGTCAAAAGCCGCTGAAAAGTCGGTCCTTCAATTTAAGAGAGTTAACACCTCAGAGGTATCAGCTCCAAAAAAGTTTACAAGTCAACAGGAAAACTGGAGGGGCCCACCCCGTCAAACTCAGCGTGGCAACAGACGAGGTGGGGCCAAGACTCGACCGACTTATCGCTCCACAAGACGACCTGCTCCAACAACGGACCACTACCAGGACTCGTTGAAGTCCCATCCACGAACCAAATCCCACCCGAGGAATCGATAGAGGTACTTAAACATTCAGGTAGACTGAAAAAATTCCTTAATAACTGGAAATATATTACAAAAGACCCGATCATTATTAATATAATTACAGGTTATTGCATCTCACTATTAAAACCGGTATTTCAAATTAGGGAACCTAAAAACCCTTTTTTTTCGGATCACGAGATACGTATATTGGAAATGGAAATAGGCAAACTTCTCGATTATGGCGCAATTAGATCCTGTAAAGATACGCCTGATCAATTTATATCAAAAATATTTCTCATACCTAAAGCAAATGGAAGATATCGATTTATACTGAATCTAAAATCTTTTAATCAATTTGTTAATTATAATCATTTTAAGATGGAGGATCATCGTACTGCAACTAAATTAATGTCTCAAGGTTGTTATATGACTACTATTGACTTAAAAGATGCATATTTTCTTGTCAGTATACATAAGTCATTTAGAAAATACCTGAGGTTTAAATTTAGGAATAATACCTATGAATTTCAATGCCTTCCATTTGGGCTTTCGTCCGCACCTTATATTTTCACCAAACTGTTAAAACCGGTTATCTCATTTCTTAGAAATAAAGGTTTATTTATAGTTAATTATTTAGATGACTTTCTCTGTTTAGGCAACACATACGATGATTGTCTTAATTGCGTTACGCAAACAGTAAATTTATTAATAAATTTAGGATTTGTTATTAATTATGAAAAAAGTCAATTGATTCCTAATCAACGTCAAAAATTTTTAGGCTTTGAACTCAATTCAATAAATATGACAATAGAACTCCCCATTGAGAAACGTTATAAAATATTAAGGGGTCTTCCTATGTGACGGCCTGTTTTTTAGGGATATTTTAGGATTTTTTTTCTACGACCAGTAAATATTTAGAGCTTCAAGTTTTTTATCATTTATTAACACATATTTGGACAGTATAAATATAAAATTTCAGCTAAAAATATTCAGTCAAACTAGAGTTACAGCGCTCTGAACACCCCCGCCTCGAAAAAAAGAGCTCCCACTTCCTCCACGATTCCGGCTGATCGGCTTATCTGAAAAAAAAAAAAAAACGGCGTTTTAATTTGTAGGCTTAAAAGCACGGAATGACCTATAATCAAATGAATATAAAAAAAATTGGATTTTTGATAGACATTTGAAATAAAAGTTGCAAATTAGGCGTTTTTTTTTTGTTTTTTGCTATAAAAAAAATCGAAGTTTTGAAAATTTTCGATTGATAATAGTTCATTCCATGCGTTTACATATATTGAGTGTGCCCTGTAAATTTCAAGTAATTCGGTCTAGCCGTTTCTGAGATACAATGGAGGAAAGTTTGAAAAACACAGTTTTGAGAAAAACGCGTTTAAAGTTTCAAGTCCGTTAAAAACTATTAAAATATCAACTTACTCTCAATCGGCGATGCCTGGTCCATAGAGTATTCCTTCCTCTTCCTCGTGAAACTCTTTTAAAGCAGATTGTTCAGCTCTTGAGTCAATCCTGGCTTGTTTAACGACATCACTTACGCGCCGCTCAGAGCGTAAGATTCGCTTTTCATCCCGTTTCTCAACATACGCTTGGGCTTCACGACCAACAGGGCATCCCATAATCGACATAACTTTTAAAATACCTTGAAAACCTTCATTAAAGATAATAACTGCTAAGTAGCTAGCAATTTCAACAACTTTGGGACCAGAATGAAGATGTTTAGGAGCGAAAGTCCAAATCAAAGAATTCAAAGATTCGTTATTGTTTTGTGTCTCTGCTCCTAAACAACGAATTAATAATTCGTCTTTCGATAAATCTTCGAAAACCGGTTTGATAGCTTCTTGGACTTGCGGAATTAGAGGTGGTTTATCGTGATGAAATTGGTCCAGTTCATTATTAGCTTCAGCCTTACGCCATTTACACCAACTGTCTTCGCCTTCTGGACAAAATTGATGCTGAGGGTTTTCATCAGAAGAACATTTGTGATAGTACGTTGCCCAAACTTCCTTTCTCATATCTTCAAGCGAATCTGGATGGCGTCGAATTGCTAATCCGTAGAATTTTGTAATTTCTTGGATAACTTTATCAGTAAGTTTACCTGCTCCTTTTCTGTTTAAGTCTGTAGAAACGTGTCTAAACTTGTATAAACAAATATATTAATAAAAGGGAGGCCAGGTATAAAGCCGACGGTACACAATAGGCCCGGTCTCTAACTGCCAACTCACCGCTCCGAACCGCTCTTTCTTTTACCTGCTGTATCTTTAAAACGACTTCGAATTTTCTAAAATCGCTTTACTACCGTATTCTAGACATGTTAAGGGAGCAATTTATGAAAAAAAAAAAAAACGATTTTTTCAACCCATCACATAGGAAGTCTTGTCAAGGATATATCTAAAAAGAGTAATATTGTTATCCGAGATTATGCGAAATTTCTCGGTATACTAACATCAGCATGTCCAGCCGTAGCTTACGGGTGGATGTATACAAAATTTTTTGAAAGGGAAAAATTTTTGGCTTTGAAATATGCTAATGATAACTATGACTGTAGGATGTTATTAGATAACACTTTAAAATACGAATTTGCTTGGTGGGAAAAACACATATTGACATCTAGAAATTTAATTCGTAACAATCGATATGCTTTAGAAATCTTTTCAGATGCATCCTTGACTGGATGGGGTATCATGTGTAATGGTGAACGTTCCAATGGGTTTTGGAACTCAAAAGAGTCCCAGAATCATATTAATTTATTAGAATTGAAAGCAGCATTCATGGGTATTAAATGTTTCGCTAATAAAATACAGAATTCTGAAATATTACTACGAATAGACAATACAGTTGCTATTTCTTACATTAATAGAATGGGTGGAATTAAGTATACTTATTTAAATGCTATAACTCGTGACATCTGGAAGTGGTGTGAGAAACGACAACTTTATATTTTTGCCTCATATATCAGGTCTAAGGAAAATACAGAGGCTGATGAGGAATCTCGACGAATGAACATTGACACGGAATGGAATTTATCTTCCACAGTATTTAATGATATCGTTATCAAATTTGGAAAACCTGATATTGACTTATTCGCATCGCGTTTAAACGCCAAATGTAAGAAATATATATCGTGGAAGAGGGATCCATCCGCTTTCAATGTAGACGCCTTTACAATAGATTGGAGTTCATATTACTTTTATGCATTTCCTCCTTTTTCCCTTATTTTAAAATGCCTTCGCAAAATAATAGATGACCAGGCAACTGGTATTATCGTAGTACCATATTGGCCAAGTCAACCATGGTATCCACTGCTACAGTCTTTATTTTTTCAAAAACCTATATATTTCCATCCTAATATTAATTTATTACTATCTCCTTCCAGAGATCCTCATCCACGATGGAGGACACTTACCCTGGTATCGTGTATGTTATCAGGTCAGCTTTCGCACAACAGTCACTCCACCATGAAACGATCAATATTATAATATCATCTTTATCGAAAAATTCGCTTAAACAATACAACGTGGCATTAAAAAAATGGTGGTTTTTCTGCAAGGAAAAAACAGAGATCCGTTTCAGAGAGACTTACCTTTATTATTAGAATTTCTAACTTATGAATATAACGATGGTGCTAGTTACTCTAGTTTAAATACATATCGCTCTGCACTAGCTCTAATATTTGGTAAAGCTTTCAGTGAATGCCACATGGTTATTCGTTTCTTAAGAGGAGTGTTCAGATCTCGACCCAGTTTTCCAAAATACCAAAATACATGGGATCCGAACATAGTATTTAACTTTGTATCAAACTTATTCCCGAATGAATCGTTAACACTATCTCAATTAACTAAAAAAATGGCTGTTCTACTTGCATTGTCGTCAGGACAACGAGTTCAGACACTGTCATTGATAAGATTCGCTAATATAAGAATAGGTGATTCAATTGTAAAAATAGTGATTAATGATGTAATTAAAACTTCGGCACCTGGTCAACCAATGCCTCAATTTGTGATTCCTTTTTTCCTAACAAAATAGAAATCTGTCCTGCAAGGACGCTCTTATCGTACATGGAAGCTACAAAATGTTTCCGATTCGGGCTGAATACTGAACGTCTTTTCCTTACTACTAAAAAACCGATCCACAGTGCTACTGCGTCAACTATTAGTAGGTGGATTAGAGAGATCATAACTGAAAGTGGAATAAACACAGAAATTTTTTCTGCACACAGTACACGTCATGCATCCACTTCAGCAGCTCATAGACAAGGTGTATCGGTAGATCTAATTAAAAAGAATGCCGGTTGGTCTGGAGAGAGTTTAATTTTTGCAAAATTCTATAATCAACCTTTGCCTTCTAATGACGATGAGAGCATCTTTGCAGAAGCAGTATATTCTTGATTACCCTGTAACACTAATAGTTTCAACAATAAAAGTATTGTTTCTACTTTTTTGATTCTAAGTAATAAAATTAATATCAAAAATATTATTAACTTTTAATTTGCGTTCTTATTAACAGATTTCGTAATGTACTCTAAACATCCTACCTGGTGAATATTTAAATCTCGAGGATGCAACGTCGAAGTATAATTAGTGGTTAAACAAACTTACCTTTGTGACGTTTGACCATAATTATATAAGACGTTGCATCGAAGAGATTTATAACCCCCCCATAGGTACCCAAATCCTTTGTCATAAATACAAAGTCATAACCCTGTACATACATTCCGAAATTTCACCCTAAAATAATGAAGCAACAATGGAATAGAGCGACATCTGTAGGTAACTAAGGGAGTCGTTTAAATACTCTTTATTTAATATTGACTCTAAAATTGTGCTTGATGCAGTACATTGAGGAGTGGACTACCTGGTGAATATTTAATTCTCTTCGGATGCAACGTCTTATATAATTATGGTCAAACGTCACAAAGGTAAGTTTGTTTAACCATTAATAATTACAGTCAATGTCCAATGTCAAATAATAATAAATGTCAAATGTTGTTTCTCTGTTCTGACGAACTTATAAAAAAAAAACTTA